AGAGGGCGGTCAGGAACGGGGGGGAGACATCCGCCTCTTCAGCAGCCAGGCGAAGAAGTACTGGCGAGGAGAGTGGCTCGGTAGCCGGTCTAGAGACAGGTCTGTCTCCTGACCCACACGCAGCCGAGGGGGCTAGTAGTGACGCGGAGACCCTAATTGATGATGATGAGGCTGATCGCACTTGGCAGCCTCGTCGTCATCAGGCTATTGCTTCCGCATCATCAGGAGAAGAGGGTGCCAGCTTGCCAGCGAGCAAAACAGTCGGTGGGTTGCCCAGGAGGCAGCAGGGTCGCAGCAGTGTCAGTGGAGGCAAACGGCCACGGAGTAGAGCACCAGCTCCACTGCAGCCTACCACCACGGCCAGTAGTGGTGCCGGTGTGCACGGAGGAAGTAGCAGTCAGCCAGTGAGGAGTAGCGGGGGCAAAGTTTCCTACTCGGCGGTGTGGCAATTTTTCGTCAAGCCGCCCCGAGGAAGTAAACGTAGCCGTATGTCGACTATGTGGCCAGAAAGTCAAGCGTGGCCAGGGGGCCCATGTTGGGACTACAGCGTTGCGTCAGCATATGCAGCGTCGCCATTTGGTGGCCTGGGAAAAACCGTGATAAAGATACGGCGGTTCTGCCTGCCCCAGCCCTCGCTCCATCACCCGCTCCGTTACTTGCTCCGTCACCCGACGTCAATCGCCCTCTATCAGCCAGTCAAGGCTCCAACACCTCTGCTGAGGGGAGTTGTCGCTCGTTGGCATCTTCCGCTCGTTCAGATGCTCCTTCTCCTGCTACTCCTCTTCACGGATTCCGTCAGCAGTCTTTCTTGGAATCCGTTTCCAAGAGACAACAGTTTGCGAGCACGCACCCGACGGTGCAGAAGCTGAACGTCCTCCTGTCCAAGTTGCTGGTGCTGCAGTCCCTCCCTTTCCAAGTGGTGGACTCAGCACCTTTCCGAGAAATGATGGCTTGTGCCGAGCCGCGGTGGAGAGTGCCAAGCCGGCATTTCTTCGCCAAAAAGGCAGTGCCAGCCCTGCATTCACATGTAGAAGAGATGGTGGGCCAGTCTTTGAGCATGTCGGTCTCTGCCAAAGTGCACGGCAGCGCCGACGTGTGGAGCTGTAACTACGGTCAGGGACAGTACATGTCATTTACGGCCCACTGGGTGAACGTGGTGCCGGCACAGCCGCACCAGCAACTTGGACAGGTCACGCCGCTTTTGCCTCCACGTTTGCACGTCCTTGGTCCAGCAAAGATGTCCGCCTCTACCACCTCTTCTTCCGCCGTGTCCTCAGCCGCCACCCCCGTGCCAAGTCCCATTACCCGACCGGCATATCACATGTGCAGGGCGCAACGGTGTCACGCTGTGCTGCACCTGGTATGCCTTGGCGAACGTAGTCACACAGGGGAGGAACTTCTGAGTGTAATGAACAGAGAAATCGACAGATGGCTGTCTCCGCGCAAACTGAAAATCGGAACCATGTTGACCGACAACGGAAAGAACATGGTGTCTGCTCTGCGTCAAGGAAGGTTGTGCCATGCGCCATGCATGGGTCACGTGTTCAATCTGGTTGTCAAGCGGTTCCTAAAATCCACCATCCCACTGCAAGACATCCTTAAAATGTCACGTAAACTTTGCATGCATTTCAGCCATTCCTACACCGCAAAGCACACACCCTCCTTGAGCTGCAGCGGCAGAACGGAATTCCACAGCATCGCCTGATCTGCGACGTTGCAACAAGGTGGAATTCAACCCTACATATGTTAGACCGCCTTTACGAACAGCGAAAGGCCATCATCGATTTCCTGATGTTACAAGCGGATAAAGGTACTCCCCTGTGTAACTTAGATGTCAGCCATTGGCAGCTCATGCGTGACACCTGCCGCTTGCTCAGGCCCTTTGAGGAGGCCACGCTATTCGTGAGTCGGCAGGACTATGGGATGAACGACGTCATTCCTCTGTTGCACGTCCTGGAACAAATGCTGTTAACAATGGCTGGTCAGGTTGCGGTAGACGTGGCGCACAGATCTCAATGCCACATGACCCCTGTGGGGGCAGGACAGGAAGAAGAGGAGGAGGTAGAAGAGGACATTGGTGCTCAGGAATTATTGAGTGAAATGGGTGGTTTTTCCACTCAGCGGACAGGAGTGGAGGAGCAGGAGCATCTGGTAGAGGAGGAGGAGGAGACAGAGGACCCAGACGCACCGTGGCAGTATGCTGTGGAGATGGAGGCAGGGAGTCCCTCGCATTCCTTGGCACAAATGGCCCATAGCATGCTCGGTTGCTTGCGTAGCGACAGCCGAATAATAACCATCAGACAGAGGGATGACTTTTGGCTGTCCACCTTGTTGGACCCTCGCTACCGTTCAAAAATGGTGGCCTTTTTCACACCTGCTGAGAGGGAGGCCAAAATAAAGTACTATAAAAACCACCTATGTAGTCATGCAGTATATAGCCCTATCGGCCACTTTCTGGCATCCAGTTGCTGTAGCCCCCATCACCACACTGTGCCACGGGCCCCTGTACCGCCTTCTCATACTGCTGCCAGATCCATCCTCTGCCATGTGCGTCTTTGTCGTCTGCTCACGCTGCTGGGTTCCAGTTTTAAACCTAGGCCTGTGTATGGCTTCCGAATACTGCTGCCTCCACCGCCACCCTGCGCCATGTGCCTCTGTCGTCTGCTCACGCTGCTGACGGCTTCCGCTTTTTAACCTAGGCCTGTGTATGGCTTCCGAATACTGCTGCCTCCACCGCCACCCTGCGCCATGGGCCTCTGTCGTCTGCTCACGCTGCTGATGGCTTCCGCTTTTTAAACTAGTCCTGTGTATGTCTTCCGAATACTGCTGCCTCCACCGCCACCCTGCGCCATGTGCCACTTTCAGGTCTCCTTACACTGTTGGTGGGTTCCATTTTGTGATAGGGTGCTGTATGGCCTTCCATTGCTGCTGCCTCCACCGCCACCCTACGCAATGTGCCTCTGTCGTCTGCTCACGCTGCTGACGGCTTCCGCTTTTTAACCGAGGCCTGTGTTTGGCTTCCGAATACTGCTGCATCCACCCGCCACCCTGTGCCATGTGTCTCTGTCGTCTGCTCACGCTGCTGACGGCTTCCGCTTTTTAACCTAGGCCTGTGTATGGCTTCCGAATACTGCTGTCTCCACCGCCACCCTGCGCCATGTGCCTCTGTCGTCTGCTCACGCTGCTGACGGCTTCCGCTTTTTAAACTAGTCCTGTGTATGTCTTCCGAATACTGCTGCCTCCACCGCCACCCTGCGCCATGTGCCACTTTCAGGTCTCCTTACACTGTTGGTGGGTTCCATTTTGTGATAGGGTGCTGTATGGCCTTCCATTGCTGCTGCCTCCACCGCCACCCTGCGCCATGTGCCTCTGTCGTCTGCTCACGCTGCTGACGGCTTCCGCTTTTTAACGAGGCCTGTGTTTGGCTTCCGAATACTGCTGCATCCACCGCCACCCTGCGCCATGTGTCTCTGTCGTCTGCTCACGCTGCTGACGGCTTCCGCTTTTTAACCTAGGCCTGTGTATGGCCTTCAATTGAAGCTGCTTCTGCTCCGCCACTCTGCCATTGGACTCTTGATAGTCGTCTCCCCACGCTGCTGCTGGGGGGACTTTTTAACATAGGCCTCTGTATGGCCTTCAATTTTAGCTGCTTACGCTCCGCCACTCTGCCATGGGCCCCTGTACCGCCTCCTCATGCTGCTGCCAGGCCCGTAATCTGCCATGGGCCCCCGTACCGACTCCGCATGCTGCTGCCAGGCCCGTAATCTGTCATGGGCCCCTGTACCGCCTTCTCATGCTGCTGCCAGGTCCAGAGTGTGTCATGGGTCCCTGTACGGCCTCCCATTGCTGCTGTCTCCATCGCCACACTCTGCCATGTGCCACTTTCAGGTCTCCTCACACTGCTGGTGGGTTCCATTTTGTCATAGGGTGCTGTATGGCCTCCCATTGCTGCTGCCTCCACCGCCACACTGTGGCTCCACACTGCCCAAATGAGTGAAGAGTGAAGTGTGCGGTGATTCTAAGATCGACGGCACTCATCTGCATGTCATACTGACTGACAGTATTATTTCTCTTCCCCAGCAGACTCCAAGGGCATTTAAATTAAAGGTACAGTGTTCTGCACTAATATAAAGGCTCTCTGAAGCCTAGAAACACCCTTTTTATAAGTTAAATTCGCAGCGAATATATTCGCCTCGAATCGAATTTATTCCGCGAATTCGGCGAATCAGCCGAATCGAATTTTTGAATAATTCGCTCATCTCTATAAATGATGATTTCAATAGCGGCTATGATGGAGGAATGAGTGGCAAGGAAGCACAAGCAAGGGAAGTATTAGGAGTGGGGGGGCTTTGCAAAGATTCTGTCACTTCGACCTTTATGGGCAAGTGACAGTGAGTCTTTGAATGCCAATAGGTTACACCTGAATAAGGCACTTTCAGTGAACTGAGTCTATTTCTACAGTGCCTCTTGAAGCCCCAATATACTAAGGCTACTGACAGCTTCATCAGGAATGCTCAAATGATCTTTTTTAAGATGAGTGAATGATCCAGAGTAGTGACTCCTACCCTCTTCCCTCTGTATGGCTATATCCAAGGTTTCAATGAGGGATAGAGTGCCTAAAAAGATAATTACTTATTTTCTATTCATTTTGTAAACCCATAGTGCTGTTAGAATTCCTTTTCCCAAGCCAAAACACTTAAACATTTTAATGTCCCTTTAAGAGTTGGTGTTGGTCATAGAAAATGATGGTATGCCTGATTTTATGACAGGTGAAAACAGACAAGTAATTCCCTGGGCATGATGTCCAGCCATGCACAGGCTGGAGACAAAAGTCACACAAATCTGTATCTTTGGATCTGCATTTAACAAAAGGTGTTTGAGTGAGGAAGGTGTTGGTGAGATTTTGGAAGTCTTTACCTTCAAAGTGCCACCATCACGTAGAATACAGGTGATGCTGAACACAGTGTGATTGCTTCTCCACCAATCAGTCACAGCCTTACCTTGGATGTCCAGATGTTTTACCATCACCAACAGGCTGAACTGCAGATTGTTGGTTGTGGTTTCTGTCCCACCAAGGAACATTTCAAGCACAGCAGCCAACAGGTTCTCCTGGCAAAATTCGCTATTACTAACATCTTTTTCCTGCAACGTAGAAACAAAATTGTGAATTTCAGTCAGTGCAAGGCTTACTTTTGGTCACTTTTCCCATCAGTGTGGTTTGCAACTCTTCTAAAGATGCACTGATAGAATTCAGCCTGAACAAAATAATCTAACATATTCCTCCATTCACTCTATACGTGTCTGTGGATGGACAAATTTTGCGGTATTTTATTCTGAGAGCCTGAACCGGTGGTTGTTGAAATACCTAAACAGGGGTTGTTAGTTGGATGCAGCTGCTTTTTGGCTAGCAATTTTGTACCTGGGACCTTCGATTTTTCAATGAAAGGATATCAGGCAGGAAGGTGCCAACAGGGCCACCCACAATATAAATTTCAGCCAGTTAATTAGGAGCCAGCCAAAATTCGCTCATTGCACTGCAAGCTTAAGATTTCTTTAAAGGAAAGCATAAAGTGATGAGAGCAGTAGACGTATGAGCTGCTGGATGTAGAAGGTGGGCAAAATTACATTTAGGGACCTTTTTCTATATATAACAAATCGATATAGCTAATTTGTATAATGAAACTGCATGTACATTCATTTTGTGTGAACTTTTCTGTGTTTTTTTAATACTGGCCACTTTGTTAGGTACACATGTTCAATTGCTTGGTAACACAAATTGCTAATCAGTCAATCATATAGCAGAAACTCAATGCATTTAGGCATCTTGCTGAAGTACAAACCGAGCATCAGAATGGGGAAAGAAAGGGGATTTAAGTGACTTTGAATGTAGCATGGCTGTTGGTGCCAGACAGCTGGTCTGAGTAAACCTGCTGATCTACTGGGAGTTTCACGCACAACCCTCTCTAGGGTTTACAGAAAATGGTCTGGTAAAGAGAAAATATCCAGTGAGCGGTAGTTATGTGGATGAAAATGCCTTGTTGATGGCACAGGTCAGAAGAGAATGGGCAGACTGGTTCAGCTACGACATTCAGATGGTAGGGTCAGAATTTGGTGTAAACCTGAAAGCATGGATCCATCCTGCTTTGTATCAATGGTTCAGGCTAATGGTGGTGGTGTAATGGTGTGGGGGATATTTCCTTGGCATTTAGCACAAAATGCTATTTTCACCTTTTTGCATATTTTTTTTCCATTTCAGTGCTGTTAGTACCCTGCAGATTCCTTGTGCTACTTCCTGTATGCATACAATTGTTCTAGTATTGACTGCACATTATTGCTCTGGACCGGCTTTCTGATAGTGACAATGGTGGACCATGCTTGGTTTTTCAGCACAGCCACTTGTTATCTCCATCAGAGGTGCTTGTACAGGTGACAACACATTGCCCTGCAGGCTCAAAGAAACAGATTCCCCTCATACATGCTAAACAGCTAAATAAATCTCCCCTTCTAGGCTATTTTATTATGACATCTGGTGCCACTGGCAGTCAGAAGAGTAAAGATGGTTTGAATCTCTGCCAGCTTAGCAAAGAATGTCTGAGATTTGCCCCATCTATGGGCTCGCTCATTGTACCCAATTCAGTTGTTGCACGATTTGGGTACAACCAGCCTGTTGGATTTTTCAAGCGATTATTGCCAGGTGTGATGATGTCACTGCCCTTGTGCTCTGCTTGTTCCTCTGATGCTTAATGAATATAAATGATGTGGATGTGCAGATGGAGCTATGTACAACTATGCAGAATTAAAAAAAAAATCAGAGGAGCTAATGGAGAGAAGTATCCCTAGATTATGTAAAGAGGGTTGTGTTAACGTACAGATTCTGACCTACATATGGGTGTTACATGAAACACAATCAGAAAGGTGGACTTTTCTATAAAAAAAATGAAATGGAACAATTTATAAAATGCTGTTTAAGTTTTCCCTGAGGAGTCCTTACTTTTTTTTATTTTTGTCCATAGAAGAAGTGAGGGGAAATCTGTTCACAAAAATTTAGACCTAGTACAGGAGAAATGAAGAGACTACCTCTTCAAAGATTTTTGTTCAGATTAGTCCTACTTATTGTTGCATTTCATAAATGAAGCAACACATTTTGGAAGTTCCAAATGGCTCCTTTCATGAGGGCTTCGGACATGTGGATGAAGGCTTTATTCTTGACCATCAATGTATGCTAGAGAAGAAAGGATTGTGAATAGCAGAGGTCTGCTTCCAGTTCTTGATTTGGCATTGACAGATGGATGTTCTATTCTCTTTCCTGCATTTTTACAAATAGTGCTCCTCAAACCTGACAGAGGTTCTGATGTTTCCTTCATCAGCAGGCAGACCTTCAGAAAAAATATTTGGAAACAGCTTCATTTTAATATCTTTTCATAAAATCTTCAAAACTTGACATTAAACTAGTGTTGAAGAACAGTCCCAATGAGATCTATATGAAACTAGCTGTATACGCTTGGGTTATATGGCTTGATCAAGGTCCACTCAATTGATTCCCCCATCCACACTAAATAGTGCCGATGGAGGAATCTACACTGACGAATATTGTTTGAGACACCTGCGGCTGTCAGAATATACTGTATCTGATTGGAGACAATTATTGTTGGGCCAACATGTTTTCACCCAGCTTCTTTGGTATTAAAATCTAATTTTGCTGAGCTAGATGGGGCCCACAGAGCCACCCACAGCTCAAATTTATTTTTTGATTCCTGGTGATTCTGCTTGAAATTCAAGCCATGTACGGTCACCTTTAATTTCAAAATTTTCTGTTGTAGGATTTACAGATACTTTGTAGTACAACTTGGTGTATATGATCTTTTACCTTGTTGGCCTGAATGAGGAAGCAGTCTATAAAATCTCTGGGGAACTCTGGATCCAATGATCTCCTGTGTGCGTTAATTTCCTCCCTTATGAAAGATTTCACATGCTCACAGTCTGCAAACACCTTCTGATGGGGGCCTGGAAGATGCTTCATTACACTATCAAACGCAACATATGCCTAAATGGGGTGAAAAAAAAAAGATATTTACAAAAGAACCAGTGTTATATAATTACTATTAAAGCTGAACTCCAGGCAGATCTAAAAGACTGAAAATGAATGCATCTTTGTAATCATTAATATACACTATATTGCCAAAAGTATTGGGATGCCTGCTTTTACATGCAAATTAAGTTTAATGGCGTCCCAGTCTTAGTCAATAGGGTTCAATGTTGAGTTGGCCCACCCTTTGCATCTATAACAGCTTCAACTCTTCTGGGAAGGCTGTCCACAAGGTTTAGGAGTGTGTCTATGGGAATGTTTTGTCATTCTTCTAAAAGGGCATTTGTGAAGTCAGGCACTGATGTCGGACAAGAAGGCCTGTCTCACAGTCTCGTCTAGTTCCTCCCAAAGGTGTTCTATCGGGTTGAGGTGCAGGTCAGTCAAGTTCCTTCACCCCAAACTCACTTTTCAATGTCTTTATGGACCTTGCTTTGTGCACTGCTGTGCAGTCATGTTGGAAAAGGAAGGGGCCATCCCCAAACTGTTCCCACATTGTTGGGAGTATGAAATTGTTCAAAATGTCTTAGTATGCTGATGCCTTAAGAGTTCCCTTCACTGGAACTAAGGGGCCAAGCCCAACCCCTAAGAAACAACCCAACACCATAATCCCCCCTCCACCAAACTTTACACTTGGCACAATGCAGTCAGGCAAGTACCGTTCTCTTGGCAACTGCCAAACCTAGAAACGCCCATCGGATTGCCAGACATAGAAGCACAATTTGTCACTCCAGGTACACATCTCCATTGCTCTAGAGTCTAGTGGTGGTATGCTTTACAACAGTGTATCCAACACTTTGCATTGTACTTGGTGATGTAAGGCTTGAATGCAGCTGCTCAGCCATAGAAGCCCATTCCATAAATATCTCTATGCACTGTTATTGTGCTAATCTGAAGGCCACATGAAGTTTGGATGTCTTTAGCTATTGACAAAGTTGGCGACTTCTGTGCACTTCAGCATGCGCTGAACCTGCTCTGTCTTTTTACGTGGCCTACCACTTCATGGTAGAGTTGCTGATGTTCCCAGTTGCTTCCACTTTGTTATAATACCACTAACAGTTGATCGTGGAATATTTAGTTGCAAGGAAATTTCAGTGATGGACTTATTGCACAGGTGTCAACCTACCACGGTACCACGCTTGAATTCACTGAGTGTGACCCATTCTTTCACAAATGTCTGTAGAAGCAGTCTGCATGTCTACGTGCTTGATTTTATACACCTGTGGCCATAGAGAAGATTGGAACACCTTAATTCAATGATTTGCAGGGATGTCCCAATACCTTTGGCAATATAGTGTATCATTAAGTCCCCAGGCACATCAGTTTTGACTTACAGTAAAGTTGCACGATTTAAAGTCAGGTGACTTGCTGATTTCAGGTGCGATTTGCAAGACATCTGACACAGATGTTTATGCAAATCGCACCAAAAGTAGTGCATGTACTACTTTTGAAATCGGTGTGGCTCCGACTAAGTTGGAACCGCACTGATATGACTGCTTCAATTGTGGACAATAGGGTGCGACTTGGCATGCAATTTGAAAGTTGCAGGGCATGCAAATCGCATGCCAAGTCGCACCCATTGCGACACGGGTGTAAATGTATTTTTTTAAATAGCAAGCAGTGTAAGTATCTGAGCTTGACTATAATCTGAGCCTCTTGCAGCCTCCGTACAGCAGAGCTTAGAATGGGAGAGGGATAAGCAGCACAAAAATCCTTTCAGGTGTGCTGGAGTGCAAACAGTCATGCTGATATGAGGAGAAAGCAAAGTAATACAGAGAGGAGTTTATTTTGCTACTTCACTGTTCAGTGGGGAGGAGACTAGTAAGATTAACCCTCTCTCTCTATTTGTCTAGGAGACCATTATCCTCAGTACAGAAAGAGATGGGAAATCCCACATTTTTGAGCCATCACAGTAATAGGAAGTGAAGGGAAATCTGCCATTTGGATAAACCTGTACTAGTGACAGCTGTCCAATAGTGGCCACACATATTTAGATTTTTTTCATCTGATTATTGTGCTATTTGATCAAAAGGATTGAACCTGCAGGCAATCTAATAGCCATAACTTCCTTTATGATTGTCTCAAACTTAGTTTAGATCAGATTTGTTGAAACTAAGTTGATAGGCAAGAATGGAAAATGACTGATCATTCTGCATTGATGGACAGCACCAAGATGCTTTATTCGTGAATACAATTGCATTTTGATGGATCAGATTTTTGTGATAAGCCACGAGTGCCATATTGATTGAATGGGTTGTTGACAATAGATCAATTATGCCTATCAAACAAGACTGATTGGGAACAAAATTGGTCATTTATCAAAGGCAGGCGCAACTTGACCTCCATCTGATAGGTGGTGCTGGGCCACTGTACAGACTGTGCAGATTCTTAAGAGGAAACTTGTTCCTTTGCAGAATTCATAGTTGTCAAAGAGGTTGCAACTACCTGACTGGATGCTCCAACTTCTGGTAACCTCTGGCAGACATCTAGGTGAGGGTCTCTATATATTAGGGTGCCTGTTCCATTCAGGCACCTAGAACGAGTGACTAGGTGAGGAACAGAGACTCCACTTGTAAGGGAAAGTAATAAAGTGCAGGGAGAGGTTCTGCAAAATATAACTTGATGGGGATCGCAACCATTATCTACTCTATACACTTTAACATTTATTTGAAAAAAAAAAACTCACTGTGAGAATAAGCAAAGCTTAAGCTGGGTACATTCAGATCAAAAATCGCCTGGTTTAGCAGGGACCAAAACCGAAGTTTCAATCTGTGTACATCCCTCCCAATTGCTAGATCGGTTTCTGTTGAATTGTCCTGTTGGAAAATCTCCTTCGATCAGTGGCCTGCAGCCAATGGGCTGAAACACTGCTTAGTACATTCTGCTATTTACACATTTGGGGAGGATGGGGGAATCACTTCCTCTATGCTATTGTGTTCTGACAGAGAGCTGCCAACTATAGCCAGCTTGTGTACAACCAGCCTGCTCATCCAGGTGTTAAAAATTCAGCTGGTCCCTGCTGAACCGGCCGAACTTTGATCCATATATGGCCACCCTAACTGTGTGTACCCAGCCTAAGATGCTAAGACTGTTTACCTTACCAATAGTGTAGTTTGTGAAAAGCTAGCATTGATCATGCTACAGGCTAGCCACCTGGCCAGTCCTGCAGCCATAGGGCTGCTAAGTCTGGTATGTTTGGCTTCAATATTTTGGAAATTATACTAATGTAATTAAAACTTTATTAGAACAGAACAAAGAAATAATGCACCCCTGTTTTTTTTCACATATGCTGGTTAGATTCCATTGCTGGGAACTTTATGGCTTTTGCCCCGGAGACTTAACATACTTGGTTTGAATACTTGGTCTCCATGACATTGGGAGTTTCCTTTGGCTCATCTATTGATTGACTGACAGGAGTAGGGACACCAATGTCACTTTACATGCTATTTAGTGTCCAGAGAGGCAAACATAGAGGAGGAGAAAAAAAGGAGGTAGAAAGAGGGGGTTGTTCTGTCTCCATCTTCTCTCTCTGGGCACTAAGGACATGTATGGCCAGATGGAATGAGAGACTTCTAGCTGCTGCTGGATAGGAGCCCTGAAAGTATAGTAAATTAGGCAGAGGCTGATCTTCTGTTCTTGTAATTGCCTGTAAATTCCAGTTTGCCACACACATATTGTAATAGTTGCCATTTGTAGTCTATGTATTGTCAAGATTGCTGGCCAATGGACATCACCCTAAATTAGACACTTTTAATTCAAATAGAACAATGGCATGAATTAACTGGAATTAATATTCAGCCAGTTTTATGTCTACTGTGGGCCACAGTTTTTAACTCCAGAAAGTATAAGATAGCACATTGGTATTTAACATGATAGAAACAACTGCACCCAACATTTTATTCCAGAAAATGGCACCTACCTTAACAAAAAATGTATGTGAATATTATTGGCACTTGCCATTTTAAAATGACTGACCCAGCCATGTAATAATATTTAATGAGCTTTAATGTAAGCCTGTTGTGAAAAAAATTGAGGCAGTAATTACTGACATCTTTTTCTGAAAACGCTGGCCTCCTGCTTTTCATGCTAACCCTCTGGGTTCAATGTTTTGCTATGTTGCCCTAAGTATGCAGATGAGGACTTCTAACTCCAATTTATACACTTATTTCTGTGCAGGGATCGTCTGCCTTTTACTATCTGTATTTGTAAATAATTGTGCTACTTATCACATAATTATTTTGTATAGCACTTCCTGTCTCTGGGTTGTTGGATTGAAACCCCAAAAGGAGGAAGTAAAGAGTCTGAGACCACATGTTCTGTCCATGGCAAAACTGCTGTTGAATCCAGGCCAGAAGCAGGAATTGTTAGGCAAGTGTTTCTTTGTTTAATAGTTTATTATTGTTGCCCATGCATGCATTATACTAGATAACCAAGTCTGTGATATGGTGGTGTAATGTAACTTAGACTAATGTGCCTGTGCTAAAGCACCACAATGTTTTTAATAGGCCCTAACAAAGCACTGATGCTGGGGGTCAGAATGACAGCATTTTCACCAAGAGGTTAACCATCTATCATCTTGATAAGCAAACTTTATGTCAATGATGTTAAAAAGCACTGACCACTCCTAGTGGACTTCGGATGAATGTAAACAGATTGTTAACGGCAGAGACAAATTTCAGGAAGCTCTCATCCTCGTAGCCCCAGCGCCGGCCGAACATCACCAAGTTTATTACATTGTTAACTGCACGTCCAAGGACTGTCAAAGGATTGAACACTTCACCTGGAGATGTAGGGAATAAAGGTTGTCAGGATCCATCCAACAACAAAAAGGTCTAGATCATATTTTCACTTATTTTCATAAAGATAACAATCAGGATAAAGCCAGGGTGAGTTAATCCAGAATACACATGATATTTTAGCTATGCAGTGTCTAGGAGAAGCCAAATGTTTGATTTGTGTGCCTGCTCAACAGTGATTTGTTTAGATCTCATGCATGCCTCGCTGAACACCAGCCAATACATTTGGCATCACACATTAGCACAAAACTAGGTGTAAAGTCTCACATAGACTCTGAGACAAATGTGCGTATTACTAACTTTGAAATTCTGAAAAGTCCAATATCTAATAAGTCCCAATCTGTGCAGTGCCCACTCACAATTTTTTCTGCAAAGGCCTGAATTGTTCAGAGAGAAGATGTTAGACTCCAAAGGTACCAGCTTGATTGTAAAATATGGGAGAATTACTAATATTTGTTTTTTCACATCGGTACTGGGTCTGCTAGACATAAAGAATAGTGTTGGTATCTACGCATACCAGAAATACAGCTGAAACCATCACTCTTATTTTCGAATCCCTAATTGATAAATGGACACAGTTACAAGTGATTGAATATTAGATTCTACCTGTGCTATTTGGGTAAGATATAATGGCCTATTTCTTTCCACATAAAATGAATAAGATCATTTTTGATTGCTCTGAAGGGTTCAAAATTCCTAAAGAGACTGCATCACCAATACATATAAACACTTACAAAACACTGTTAAACTGTGCGAGATTGCATTGTGTCATGTGCTGTAATTGCAATAGTTGGCCTACAGAGAACAAAACAGCCAATTTGCTCACTGCAGATTAGTCATGGAAGTTATTGTATCTGCCATAGGCAGTAGAAAACGTAACTGCGTAAGGATTCCAGGTAACAAGATAGCTTGGGGAAATATCAGACACATGGGGGAATCACCTAGCTGCTAAAAAACAATTAGAGTGAACTAGACGGCATGCAAGATTTGCAACTACCTGTAGGTGCCCAGCAAAATGAACCGCACAATATTATTATTATACAGTATTTATATAGCGCCAAAGGGTATGCTCAGCACTGTACAGTAGCAGGGGGGACAGAACATGAGGCAAGACAGTAACAATACAATACACGAGGGGTTCAAGGGCCCTGCTCTTTCGAGCTTACAATCTAGGAGGGAGGGGGAAGGTGGTACAGGAGGAAATGGCTGTGGGGGATGGAGTGGTGGGAGGAGTGGAGGAGGTTAGTTGTTAGGTGAGGTCAGGTGTTAGGTGAGGTTGGGGTAGGCTTCCCTGAAGAGGAGGGTTTTCAGGGTGCGCCTGAAGGTGAGGAGGGTAGGTGACAGTCTGATGGATTGGGGTAGGGAGTTCCAGAGGATGTGGGAAGTCCTAGAGAAGTCCTGCAATCGGGCGTGGGAGGAGGAGACCAGAGAGCTAGAGAGTAGGAGGTCCTGTGAGGAGCGGAGGGCACGGGTAGGGTAGTATTTGGGTATCAGGTCAGTTATATAGTGTGGGGCGGTGTTGTGAATGACTTTGTAGGTCAGAGTTAGCAGTTTGAATTTGATGCGTTGGGCAATCGGGAGCCAATGAAGGGATTGGCAGAGGGGGGAGGCAGATGTGGAGCGGTTGGTGAGGTGGATGAGTCTGGCCGCTGAGTTCAGGATAGACTGGAGTGGGGATAGCATTCGTTTGGGTAGGCCAGTGAGAAGGGAGTTGCAATAGTCCATGCTTGAGATGATGAGGGAGTGTACGAGTTGTTTGGTGGTGTCTGGGGTGAGAAATGTGCATATCTTGGAGATGTTGCAGAGGTGGAGCCTGCAAGATCTAGATAGCAGTTGGATGTGGGGTAGGAAGGAGAGGTGGGAGTCCAGGGTGACACCCAGGACTTTGGCGTGTGGGGTGGGAGAGATGGTGGCGTTGTTAGTAGTGATGGAGAGGATGGGGGGGCACAGGGTGGGGGGAAGACCAGGAGCTCGGTTTTGGATAGGTTAAGTTTGAGGAAATGGAGTGACATCCAGTCTGATATGTCGTTTAGGAGGTGGGCGATGCAGGCATAGAGTGAGGGGGTGAGGTGGGGGGTGGAGAGGTAAATTTGGGTGTCATCGGCATAGAGGTTGTAATTGAACCCGTGGGAGTGAATAAGTTTGCCAAGGGAGGAGGTATAGATGCAGAAGAGGAGGGGCCCGAGGACAGAGCCTTGGGGGACCCCGACAGAGAGGGGGAGGGGGAGGTGGCAGTGTTTTAGGTGACGCTGAAGGAGCGTTGGGAAAGGTAGGAGGAGAACCAGGAGAGAGCAGCGTCCCTGATGCCAAGGGAGTGCAGTTTGGCAAGGAGGAGAGGGTGGTCAACAGTGTCGAAGGCCGCGGAGAGGTCGAGGAGCAGGAGGATAGAATAGTGGCCATTGGCATTGGCGGTTAGCAGGTCGTTGGTGATATTAAGTAGGGCGGTTTCGGTGGAGTGCAGGGGACGGAAGCCAGACTGTAGGGGGTCAAGGAAGTTGTTATCAGTAAAGTGGGCGCTTAGGCGATTGTAGGCCAGGCGCTCAAGAAGCTTGAAAGTGAAGGGCAGCAGGGAGATGGGTCTAAGGTTGTTAAGGTTAATGGGGTCAAGGGAAGGTTTTTTGAGTATGGGGGTGATGTGTGCGTGCTTTAGAGGGGAGGAGAAGGTGCCGGTGGAGAGGGAGAGATTGAAGATGTGGGTGAGGGAGCGAATGATGGAGGGGGGGTGACTGGAGGAGCTGTGAGGGGATAGGGTCCAGGGGGCATCTGGTGAGGCGGGCTTCAGTGAAGACCTTAGAGACCTCCTCAGGGGTAGTTGGGCTGAAGGAGCAGAGTGTTGGGGAGGTGATGGTGTGCGGGGCATTAGGTATAGTGGGGGGTAGTGCGGCTATGAGTTCGGGGGAGGGGGCAATTGTGGGGTTGAAGGAGGGCGGGAGGCTGGGTGGGGAGGTGGATTGTGAGTTGACAATGTCCTTACGGATTGTGTCAATCTTGTTTTGGAAGTGATTGGCAATCTCGTGGACCATGAGTGAGGTGCTGGGTGGAGGTGGTGGGGGGGAGAGAGCAGGGATTTGAAAGTGGAGAAGAGCCGGCGAGGACAGGTGGAGAGGGAGTTGATAAGGGTTATGAAATAGGCTTGCTTGGCGGCGTGGAGGGAGGTGGTGTAGGCGAGGTAGAGGGAGAACGCGCGAGGGGATCTGGTTTTGCGCCATAAGCGCTCCAGTGCTACCTCGTCGTTTGAGGCATTTCATGTGGTCGTTTTGCCAGGGTTGAAGCGGTCAGGGTCCAATGTTATGTGTGGATAGGGGTGCCAGGGAGTCAAGGGCAACTGACAGTGAGTCGTTGTATGCAGTAGTGGCCAGGTCAGGGCATGACAGCGGGAGTATACTGTCATACAGACGGTCAGCTGCCGGGTGGAGATGGGTCGGGTTCAGATTGCGGAGGTTGCGGGTGATGGTTAGATGCTTTGGGGGGGGAGTTGATGGGGGGGAATGGAGAATGTGAGGAGGTGGTGGTCAGAGAGGGGGAAGGGGGTGTTAGTGAAGAGGTGGGAGAAAACGAGGTCCAGGGTGTTTCCGTTGGAGTGGGTGGAGGACTGAGTGCAAAGTGCAAGTGTAGCACATGATCCTCCTCCAAAGAGAAAAGACCTCCACCCCCGAACCCCCAGGGTGCAAGACTCCTAACAGGGAGTACCTTTTGGTTTACCCAGCCAAGACCAGGCAGACCCCTTCCTTTGGGCTCCTGCCAAAGCAAGGTCCTCCCAAGTACAATGCTCCGTGGAAAACCTTGATGCCCACTATCATGAATACATCTATATTTCTACATGGAAAGGTTTTGTAATCCGGCAAGCAACATACTGTATTATTTAACAGAATACAATTATGATTTGTTAGAGATTAGATATGATATGGATCATATAAATATTTCTCTTAGTATACCTAATATATTTTATTCGGATTTTGGAGCTTGTAAGATTGATATGTTTGGTATCTGCCTTCTTGGTAGCATCATATACATTAATGTAACCCCTTTTTATGAAAGTAACAGCAAGATTGATCATTTTTAAAGTTTGTATATAGTAGTTAAAAATGACTCAGGATATTCATTGCTTTAAGCTGCTCTGTAAGACAATTTATGACAGGCTTCATTAGGAGTCTTTTGCAGACCGTACTAGAGGAGCTTTTATAACACATCTGCATTCCATCTAATGTTCTCTGCTTTGTGTCAAATGTGGTGGGAATGTGTTCCACCAAAGATCTCACTGCCTACAAATGCCTAGCAGAGACATGAGATTTAAATTGAAATATTTCTGTTATTGACTCTTAGAAGTTTGGAGAAAACGTTAGAGGAATGAGGTTGGCATCATGTTTATTATGACTTCCCCCATTCTCTCCACACAGTTTGGGGCAGGGGCGGACTGACCATTTGGGAACTCGGGCAGTGCCCGAGGGCCCGGGGTCAGTAGGGGGCCCATAGGATGCCCCTGGTACCTTTCATAGGCTTGTTTGAGTGTGGACGTGGACACAGGGGGCCCATGATCTCCTATTGTCCGAGGGCCCCATGAGTTGTCAGTCCACCCCTGGTTTGGGGTTAATAAATTTTCACTACTGTCACCTCCAAAGCATCAGGATCAACAGTAGTCCTTGCACTACATATTGCAGAACTCAAAGGGAATGCTCCATTTCTGTTTTTTAAGCCCTACCTTTCAGGTTGGCCTCAGTGCAGAGAATATTATTGACAGAACTGATGGGGATCATAGGAAACAAAAGACTGTTATTATTTCATGCCTGGAAAACTTCCTGCTATTTGCTGGAACCTTCTGGTAACCTCAAACCTGTTTCTGGAGCAAGCCTGGATCCCAAAATGGGAAAAAACATGGTTACCCCAAAATAGTCAATTCTCGGTACCTCTTGGATTGAATATATAAAACCTTTTCTGATGAAAAAGAAGGTGCTCAGGATTGAACATTAGACAAGGCGGCTGAGTAAGACTCCCAAACTATCCAACAGGAAGGCCATGTAAACTCTAGTTACCATATTATATTAGGAGTAGTTTGGGCTCAAGCCTAACTATTAAAAAAGTGGTCTGGTCAAAGGGAAGACCCAGACAACCCATTAGTCCTTCAATCCTGGTGAAGAATCCTAAAGATAGTTGACCAAGGAAGAACTCCTCTCATAGGGCTGACTGTTGAGTTACCCAATCCAAGCAAAAAACCATTACAGACACCACTTTCTGGAGCTGAGCAGCACACCTGAGCAAAGACATTGCTCAGAGAAAATGGATCTCTCACTTTAACTACAGGCAATGGGAGTATGTCTCCACCATTTCAAGTCCACATAATCACCTGTGCTAGTACTCTCGGACAACTTCACAACAGTCTCATACTCAAATTGTCAAGAGGAAATAAAGTTAGAAACATTGAGGAATACAGCAAAACACATCATTCATTGGGCAGAGGAGAGAGGAGAATCGCATAAAACAAAAAGGAATAGGAGCTTTATCCAGAAGACTTTCAACTTCTAACCAACTCGTGGGGCACCAACAAACATCTTTTTGCGATGTCCCAGAACAAAACGTTGGATGCTTTCTACTCTTAGTGTGCAGGGGTTTTAAAAAGCTTGGATGTTCTTTTTGAGCATTGGGACTTAGACCCAGTATAAGCATTTTTGCTTACCATGCAACTAGGGAAGGTTATAAAGTGATCTCACAATAGTGCAGATTGATCCTGGTAGCCCCCTTTTGGTCAAGAAGGGTATGGTTCTCTCTACTTCACCTACTGGCAGACGAACCTCTGATGATCCTCCTCTGCAGGAGGGATCTCCTTCTACAATGCAAGATTGTTCACCCACATCTCAGGAAACTACACCTGTCAACCTGGATCCTGAATGGAAAATCCTTTAGAGAAAAGGTCTACTGAGTTTTCAATTCCTAGTAGCTATCACTTGGCTCCTTGGGTCAGCGAGTTCCATACACTCTCAGTAAAGGGATTATTCTTCACTCTGAAGGGAGATACGGTAATACTTAAGACAGAACAACAACTCTGTAAAAAAAAGTGATAACTACTGTCAACAAAAATCAAAACGTGGTGCTGCCCTTTTTTTTGCCAGAATGCTACTTACAACAGATAGCAAATTTGGACAGATGAAAGCACTAGGGACTTCAGAATATCCAGTTTCCTGTTCCCATAGCTTGGTGATTACACATAGCCATCACTTTGACCTAAACACCTGCAGAGAATCCTGTCCTTTCCGTGTCATAGCTCACGCCTCAAAAGTTCTTTCAACATCCCTCTGCAGACCAAATTTACAAAGTGGTCTCATGGTTCAACTTCAACACTTTTGTAAAGCACAGTTTATCCCTTGTCCAGTCAGGATCAGGGTTTTGAGAGGAAAGTGCTTCAGGTCATGGCCCCACCCTACATCTTTTCCAGAAATTGTTCCACCCTAGGGTGTTTACACTTTTGGACATAGTGATGCTGCATATTTCTGGAACATTTTACTGAGGGTTATATATACTTACCTGTTTTGTGAGCTGCCTTTTGCTTATCTAGTGCTGAGTTGACTTCCATGTTATTCCACCCTAGATCTTGCTAAATCCCTCTAATGAACTATTCTGGGGTTTTTTTTTATCTGATAATGCCTTTTCTAAGAATCCTTTAGGGTGGCGAGGTCCAATCCTAGGTTTTTCCTATTGTTACGGAATGCCTGTCACTCAGATTGGCATTCCGTAACAATACTTGCTGTCAGATAACCACTTCCTCGCCACTGGGACACAGGACCAAGGTATTATAACTGGCATTGCACCAAAGACTAGATGAGACTAGCTTAGATGCCAAACTGAAACTCTTTATTGAAAACAAAACAGGTTTCTATACACTCCAGATATAGGGCCCATCCCCTCATGAACAATACAATATTACACTTTGGGATAAACATCCCACACTGATTAGATAAGGAGGTGAAGCTGACTTCAATCTAATTCTATCATGTAGGCACCTCCAGAAGGACTTGCCAACAAACAATAGGTGACTCAATTAATTTAATTAACAATGGGAGTGCACACCTGGGAGGTACAAAATGGGAGAAGATAGTAAGCACATAAGACCTTAATAAACAGATTAGAGCAAGAGTCCTCAGCATGAGGTTGTTTTGCTGATTATATCAACATCTTCTTAGAGTCTCTGACTCTAGGAAGGAGGTGTGTTGAAGCAGAAAATGCTAGTTTGGACACAGAGACCCCTAATGTGTATCTTGGTACTCCAGTTCTCAGAGGCTGTGTGTTTTAGGGAGACATGGACTTGAATCTGAAGTAAACTACTCCAAAGGTCTCCCCCAGGCCCACCCCAAAGAAAAGAGCCCCTCATATTCCAGGGCCACGGTCAGTAGCCAATAGGCTAGCCTGCAGTCCCCTCCAAATACCCTGTCGTGGTTGGGTCTGTCACACCTACAGTATGTATTATTTTGTGCCTAGTGTTACATAGTTAATCTGGTTGAAAAGAAGACACTAGTCCATCCAGTTCAACCAAAAAAACAGACACACACACAAATAGAAAACCTCCATATATACACTATCCTATACCTACAGTATATTAAGAGGAAGGCAAAAAACACCATAAAAAAACATGATCCAATTTGCTCCAGTGGGTTCTTTTAGTCATCATTGTGATGAATGCAGCATCAAACCCTGGCCACCTTCAACAACATGTGACGAGTGTCTGGTCAAACTTACACCATGTCAGTGATGTCAAAGACACTCACATCCTCACCCTGCTGGGTCAATAAAAAAATATGCATGGTCAGCCTTAGTCACTGGGTGACAGGGTAACTTTTGATGTTATCCAGAACTTAGCTTTAATTTTTTTTAACCTTGCCAGAATAATGAGTACCTTTTCTCCATACCACAAGATATACAATTAATTTGCACCCACAGAAACCATTTTTGGAGGTTTCTATAAAAAAAAAAATGAAGGCTTATTCCTGAATTGACTCGCTAAACTCACTAGAATTCCCTCAAAGTCATCCAGGATTTCATTTAAACCAACACTAGGGTCTGACTAAAAGAATCATGTTCTGTAAGAAAAAACTCATTGCTTCTATTACTTTTCACCCTGTTGAAATAATAAAATATTTTCTCCTTCTCCATTTAAATGTCTCCAAACGAAGTTTTAATCAAAGTGAAAGTGACAGGGGAAAAATATAAAATGAACCCTAAGCAATTTTGTTTGAATTTAGTTTATACTTTTTTATTGTGCAGCGCAGTGCTTAACAAAAATACACATACAGTGCAGCACTAAAAAAAGTGATAAAAAATGAGTGAGAAAAAACATGTGATGAAAGAAATATTGAAATATTGTCCATCCAAAATATTAAAATAAAGGAAAGTCTCCAGAGGCCGTGATGAAACAGAAAAATCCAAGGACAGCTGATGTGTCACCAACCACTCACATGAAAGGCTTACCAGAGAGATATGACTCCCAGTTAAGTGGTCAATCACGCTTTGTTTTAAAACAACCCAGAAGGTTGGAAAGCCAGATCCTCCTCCGGACCACCAATGAAGAAATACCAAAGATCCTCCAAGCAATAGACCCTAATTAGGGGAACTGTAGCACTCCGGATGGGACCCAAACTCGTGGTAAGAAACATGCAAAAGAAGAGTGCTCCACATAGTGTAAAACCATTAAAACAGCATTTATTTTAAATATGGTTGCACTCTCATAAAAGCGGACATCAATGAGCATAAACAAGCAAAGAATCAGAATCTTCCAACTACCAAAATGGCTGTCGGCCAGTCGCACATGCATGGTAGCGTGTGTGCATGGCTCCGCCCTCACTGTATATGTATTATTGTATTATTGAGCAGGGTCCTCTGTTTCCTCTTGTACCAAATTATATTGTAACTGTAATATCTACCTTCATTTTGTAAAGCTCTGCACAAACTGCTGGCGCTATATAAATCCTCTATAATAATAATAATAATAATTATTGCCTGGTATCAAGTTGTAGTGTTCAGCCGCTGTATATGTGCACTTTATTCTTACTTTTTAGCACAGATTTATATATATATTTTATACTTTTTTCTATTGCTGGCTTCCTTGTGAACAAATTCATTCATAAATATGAATTTATCAAGCGTGTAGGAAAGATACAACAAAAAGTGGTATATGTCACTGTCAAATTTGTGATTCCATTGACTGCTCTCATGCCCCATCTACGGTAATCTACTGTACCAATTCCTGTGAAAGGGAAGGTGCACCTTATACAACTGTGGGTCAGAAGAGCAGGGGTTCATGATAAATCTATTTCTTTATTGATAGTAATCTAAAAAATTACCAGTGTGTTTCAGGAGCTTTGCAGGTATCTCCTTTTTCAGGGCTGCAAGTTACCAGGAGTATCTTAACCCCACACTACTCCAAAAAAAATGTCTGTAAGATTTTAGGAACCCTAAAGAAGGGGGTACCTGTATAATCCTCAAAAGAATCTGGATTTTTTTTGGAGTTACAATGGATTAATTACCAAGGCAAGCTCTTTTTGACTTTCTAAGCTAATTCATAGCTGCATAAGTAGCTTTCTGAAGAGCCTCATATGACTCCTTGCTTTATAAACAGCCTCAAAGATACAAAATTTTATTGAAAATTCTTGATAATATTTTCTCCTTTGTGTGCCTCTCAAAACACCTATTGAAAATCCATATTGTAACAAAACCTTGGACTGCCAGTTACTTCATGACATGTCAATGACTTCCTCCTGATCTCACCTCCAGTATCTTCTATAGCCTTTAATAGGTGATGGGATTCCTCCTGAATTCTCTCCTCCATTGAACGCTTCCCCATTCCGAAATTCCTCAGTGATGTCACGGCAAACCGCCTAACCTGCTGCCAGCGTTCTCCATTGGTAGTGACAATACCTAAATATGGAAAAAAAAATTAATCTATTTGTGGTTGCTTCTCCTAAAATGCTGTTAGGGCTTCAGGATCTTGGCATAATAGCTTTGGTGCAGGGGCGGACTGACAACTCATGGGGCCCTCGGGCAATAGGGGATCATGGGGCCCCTGTGTCCTTGCCCAAACTCAAAAAAGCCTATGAAGGTACCAGGGGCATCTCATGGGGCCTTCTACTGACCCCGGACCCTCGAGCAGTGCCCGAGTTCCCAAATGGTCAGTCCACCCTGCTTTGGTGTAATCTCTGCAGATTTCCAGTACCCTTAAAACTGTCCCACAGCTGGAAAACTCTTTGCTCATCAGTTGGGCAAAGTGGAGAGTGGTGCACAAGCATCCAGCTAACATACTGAGAATAAGGAATCCTAGAATTTTTCATTTTATATTTTCAATATTAAAGTAATTTTAACAGTGAAAAAACTTTTAGCAGGTCTTTAGAACTCCAGCAGTAGAACTGAGCTGTACTAACTTTTCACATATTTTGCGCAGGAGTCAGTTCACCCAAAAGTGATATTTTAATGGGCTGTAAATACTCCAGCACATTTTTTTTTATCCCTAAAATATCCAGCAAGGCGAGCTGGATCACCTTATAATGGGTACAATATTACTGCAGATTTTGGAAACTATCAGATCTCACCGAAAAGTCTCCAAAAGACAGAAAACTCTGTTAGCAGTTATATACCTTTTTATATATGCAGTGTGTGTGTATATATACAGTTGTGTTCAAAATAATAGCAGTGTGTTGAAAAAAGTGAATAAAGGTCAAAATCCTTCTAATAGCTTTTATTTCCATACACACAAATGCATTGGGAACACTACACAATCTATTCCAAATCAAAACATGAAGAAAAAATATATCAAATTTGTGTTGTTCCTCTAAAAAAATTGAAGAAAAGTGAATATTAGACTGTTCAAAAAATAGCAGTGTTTGTATTCTTCTTTACAAACTCAAGCATTCACTATATAAACTGAAAAATGTTTGAATATTTTGCTTTCCTTTGAATCACTTAATGAATATTTAGTTGTATAAGCACTGTTTCTGAGAACTGCTGTACATCTGTGTTGCATGGAGTCAACCAACTTTTGGCACCTGTGAACAGGTATTCCAGCCCAGGATGATTGGACTACATTCCACAGTTCTTCTCTATTTCTTGGTTTTGCCTCAGAAACTGCATTTTTGATGTCACCCCACAAGTTTTCTATTGGATTAAGATCCGGGGATTGGGCTGGCCACTCCATAACGTCAATCTTGTTGTTTTGGAACCAAGATGTTGCCCGTTTACTGGTGTGTTTGGGGTCGTTGTCTTGTTGGAACACCCATTTCAAGGGCATTTCCTCTTCAGCATAAGGCAGCATGACCTCTTCAAGTATTCTGATGTATTCAAACTGATCCATGATCCCTGGTATACGATAAATAGGCCCAACACCGTAGTATGAGAAACATCCCCATATCATGATGCTTGCGCAACTATGCTTCACTGTCTTCACAGTGTACTGTGGCTTGAATTCAGTGTTTGGGGGTCGTCTGACAAACTGTCTCTGGCCACTAGACCCAAAAAGAACAATCTTACTTTCATCAATCCACAAAATGTTGCACCATTTCTCTTTAGGCCAGTCAATGTGCTCTTTGGCAAACTGTAACCTCTTCAGCACGTCTTTTTTTCAACAGTGGGACTTTGCGGGGGCTTCTTGCAGATAGCTTGGCTTCACATAGGCGTCTTCTAATTGTAACAGTACTCACAGGTAACTTTAGACCTTCTTTCATCTTCCTGGAGCTGATTGTTGGCTGAGTCCTTGCCATTTTGGCTATTCTTCTATCCATTCGAATGGTAGTTTTTCGCTTTCTCCCACGTCTTTCAGGTTTTGGTTGCCATTTTAAAGCATTTGTGATCATTTTAGCTGAGCAGCCTATCATTTTCTGCACTTCATTATATGTTTTCCCCTATATGTTTTCCCCTCTCCAATCAACTTTTTAATCAAGGTACGCTGTTCTTCTGAACAATGTTTGGAACGACCCATTTTCCTCAGAATTTCAGAGAGAAATGCACTGTAACCAGCATATACAACATTTGCTGCCTTCCTTCCTTCCTTAAATAAGGGCAAAAATTGCCACCTGTTTTTCAAAGAATGAATGACCTCACTAATAGAACTCCACACTGCTATTATTTTGAACATGCCCCTTTCAATTAGTGATTCAATTACACAGAATCAGCAGCATGCATGTCATGACTGTTGGGTCTGTTGGATTTCTATTACTCTACTACACCTGCTAGTAAATTATTTGCCATGTAGAAATATCATTTCTACCAAAAACAGTGATTGATCAGGTTAGTAATGTCTGACTGCTATTATTTTGAACACAACTGTATATATATTGTGACATTATGATATCTGGGAGACTAAGGTGGGTCTAGTCTGGGTTCTCCAGGCCACTTTGGCAGAGTTTCTTCCGGACCAGATTTCATGGTCCACTGATGACCACCAGCAGGTGGTATAAATCAAGCAGGGCTGGGGAAAGCCTGCGCTCGTTTCTACAGAGGGCAGTGGAGACAGTCAGGCATCACGTGGGCTCTGACTAGTTCGGAAATAGGTATTACATCCCTCAGCAAAAGACTTTTACAGGATCTTTCTTTCACTTACCATAGTTTATGGTGAGTGATATACAGAGCTGGTGTATCTATCCTGGGAGGTCTGGAGTACAGATCACTTACCTGAGAAGGGAACCAAAGAAGGAGTACAGAGGATACCAGATAATACTGGCGAAGGATCTAGAAGTGATCCTGGAGGCTTAGTGGCCCTTTTGGGTCGCAGAGTGGAGGTGAGGGGGCATTTTAGCCACGGAGGATAAGTGTGCTGATACCAACACAGAAATCATCACTTTCATCACTCTGCATGAATTTTTGCTGTTTGAGCACTATTTGGAGGATTTATGAACTTTATTTAATTTTAAGTGAATATATTTTTTAAATGCTGCATCTGAGTTAACTTGGTCACATTTTTTCACTGGTCACTTGAAGTGTGGTTTATTTATTCATGAGGGGTTGATTTATATACAATGATACACGTATTGATTGGTTAATAAGGCACAGGTTCTGAAAACTCTTATCAGGACCTCAGGTCACAAAGGAGTTAAACACTCTTATTGGAGCACATTGTAGCACTGTATTTATATAATTTTTATATATAATTTTGTATCACTATTTTGAGTTTTATATGTTGATTATATGATATGAGGTTGGTTTAATTTAGCTCTGCACTATTAATAATTACGTTTATTGCACTGATTGAGGTTTCAGTATTGAGTGTGAGCTGCTTTATATTATAGGTACCCGAGGTCAGGCGGGAAACAGTGAAAAATGAAATAGGAACATGTTAGAGTTGGGAATGATTAAAGAATCTCAAACTGATTGGTCAAGTCCCATAGTGTTGGTCCCAAAGCCAGATGGAACAATCAGATTTTGTAATGATTTCAGAAAATTGAACAGTGTGTCTAAGTTTGATGCTTAGCTGATGCATAGGGTGGATGAGCTCATTGACAGGTTGGGAATGGCCTGATACATAACTACCTTAGATCTGACTAAAGGCTATTGGCAGATGCCCCTAATGGAATCTTCAAAAGAAAAGACAGCATTCTCTACCCCCGAGGGGTCCTTCCATTATAAGTGGATGCTGTTTGGTTTGCATGATGCTCCCGCCTCTTTCCAGAGAATAATGGACAGAACGTTAAGACCACATCGCCACTACGCAGCTGCCTATATGGACGATTTTGTAATCCACAGTCCAGACTGGGTGTCTCATTTGTCCCGATTGCAATCCGTAGTAAATTCGCTTAGGAAAGCAGGTCTTACCGTCAACCCCAAAAAGTTGCCATAGACTTGGAGGAGGCCAAATATCTTTGCTACATTATTGGCTAAGGACTAATTAGGCCTCAGATCAATAAAATTGAAGCGATTCAAAAGTGGCCCAAACCTATAAATAAAAAGCAAGTCCGGGCATTTCTTGTGATCACATGCTTCTATAGGCGTTTTAGGCGTTTTATATCCAATTTTGCCACCATTGCAGCCCCACTGACAGATCTGACAAAAGGTAGGGGTCGGTTATGATTGAGTGGCATCCTGAGGCAGAGACAGCATTGAAAACAAGCTCTCTCTGTGCCCCCCAACCTGTGCTCGTGACCCCAGGGGATTGGTACTATACTGTCCCAAATCAGAGATAGGGAGGAGCACCCTGTGGTCTTCCTGAACAGAAATCTTAATAAAAACAAGAAAAATTATGCAATTGTTGAGAAGGAATTCAAGTTGGTTACTGATCATGCCCCTCTCAAGTTGATGTGCGATAACAAGGAGAAAAATAGTCGAGTGACAAGGTAGATTCTTTAAATTCACTAGCATTTAAATTCACAGTGGAGCAGAGAGCAGGGAAACTTCAGGATAATATAGATGCCCTTTCCAGTGTCCATTGCTTGGTTGGGACAGTTGCTCAGCCACAGTGGCTTGAGCCGGGGGGGGGGGGGGGGATATGTGACATTATGAAAGGCGAGGTGATTGATGGACGCTATGTGTCACCTTGCATGCGTTCATATCTGGGAGAATAAGGTGGAGTCTAGTCCAGGTTTTCCAGGCCACTTTGGCAGAGTTGGTTTCGGACAGAGGATTTTGTGGTCCACTGATGACCGCCAGCAGGTGGTATAAATCAAGCAGAACTGGAGCAAGAATTTGCTCTTAGCCTAGGACTCAGGGCGGTGGATGAAAGAGTTTGCTTTATACAAGGAAAAGGTTTGTAGACCGTTTTGTTCTGTTGGTGACAGGCAGAAGCCCTTCACCTGTGAGATAGGAATCTCCTCTGTTTAGTTAGTGCCTGGATGGCGACGGTTTATTCTCTGTTTTGTTTAGGATACATGCAACCTTTTAAATAAAACTGGCTACAAGTCAGATTTTTAAGAAAGATCTGCCGTCTGGACAACTTTTTCAAAGGGAAGGTGATCCCCCACCTGAGCTAACACCCAATATATATATATATTTATATATATATATATATATATATATATATACATACACATGTTTGTATAAATACACACACACATACTCACACACACACACAAGCTCAAAAAAAGGAACACTTTGAAAACACATCAGATCTCAATAGGGAAAAATATCATGCTGGATATCTATACTGATATGGACTGGGTAATATGTTAGGAATGTAAGGATGCCCCATTATTTGATGAAAATGATCAACCTACAGAGGACTGAATTCAAAAACACCCCAAAAAATCAAAGTGAAAAAATGATGCAGCAGGCTAGTCTATTTTGCTGAAATTTCATTGCAGCAACTCAAAATGTTACTCATTAGGTAGTATGGCCCCCACGTGCTTGTATATGCTAATATTGAGACGACAGATGGTGTCCTGGGGTATTTACTCCCAGATTTGGACTAGGGCATCACTGAGCTCCTGGACAGTCTGAGGTGCAACCTGGCAGCGTCGGATGGACTGAAACATAATATCCCACCAATGTTCTGTTGGATTTACGTCAGGCAAGCGTGAGGGCCATTCAATGGTATCAATTCCTTTGTCCTCCAGGAACTGCCTACATACTCGCATCACATGAGTCAAGGCATTGTCGTTCACCAGGAGGAGCCCAGGACCCACTGCACCAGCGTAGGGTCTGACAATGGATTCAAGGATTTCATCCTGATGTCTAATGACAGTCGGTGCCGTTGCCTAGCCTATAGAAGTCTGTGCGTTCCTCCATGGATATGTTTCCCCAAACCCTCACTGACCCACCACCAAAAACGGTCATGCTGAATGAGGTTATAGGCAGCATAACATTCTCCATGGCTTCTCCAGACCCTTTCATGTCTGTCACATATGCTCAGGGTGAACTTGCTCTCATCTGTGAAAAGCTCAGGGCGTCAGTGGTGGACCTGCCAATTCTGGAGTTCAATGGCCAATGCCAAACGAGCTCTATGTTGCTGGGCAGTGAGCACAGGACCCACTGTAGGATGTCAGGCCCTCAGGCCACCCTCATGAAGTCTGTTTCTGATTGTTTGGTCAGAGACATTCACATCAGTGGCCTGCTGGAAGTCATCTTGCAGGGCTCTGGCAGTGCTCATCCTGTTCCTTTTTGCACAAAGGAGCAGATATCGGTCCTGCTGATGGGTTAAGGACCTTTTACGACCCTGTCAAGCTCTCCTAGAGTAACTGCCTGTCTTCTGGAATCTCCTCCATGCTCTTAAGACTGTGCTGGGAGACACAGCAAACCTTCTGGAAATGGCACGTATTGTAGGGTCCAGGTATCTCTCCATGCTACCAGTAGTGACACTGACCATAGCCAAATGCAAAACTAGTGAAAAACAGTCAGAAAAAATGAGTAGGGAAAAAAATGTCAGTGGCCTTTACTTGCAAAACTATTCGCGTTTTGGGGGTCGTCTCATTGTTGCCCATCTAGTGCACCTGTTATTAATTTAATTACCACCAAAGCAGCTGAAACTGATTAACAACCCTCTCTGTTACTTAACTGACCAAATCAATATCCCAGGAGTTTCATTGACTTGATGCTATACTCTAATAATAAAATGTTCCTTTAATTTTATTGAGCAGTGTATATATACATACACATACACTATATTGCTAAAAGTATTGGGACATCCCTCCAAATCATCGGATTCAGCTGTATAAAATCAAGCACCTAGGCATGTAGACTGCTTCTACAAACATTTTTGATAGAATGGGTGCTCTCAGGAGCTTAGTTAATTCAAGTTTGGTACCGTGATAGGTTGGTACCTGTACAATAAGTCCATCCGTGACATTTCCTTGCTACTAAATTTTCCACGGTCAACTGTTAGTGGTATTATAAGAAAGTGGAAGCAACTGGGAACAACAGCAACTCGGCCACCAAATGGTAGGCCATGCAAAATGACAGTGCGGCATCTGTTCATGCTAAAGTGCACAGTGCGCAGAAGTCGCCAATTGTCTGCAGAGTCAATAGTTAAAGACTATTTCGTGTGGCCAATTTCGTGTGGCCTTCAGATTAGCACAACAGTGCGTAGAGAGCTTCATGGAATGGGTTTCCATGGCCGAGCAGCTGCATCCAAGCCTTACATCACTAAGTACAATGCAAAGCGTTGAATGCAGTGTTGTAAAGCATGCCGCCACTGGACTCTAGAGCAGTGGAGACGTGTTCTCTGGAGTGACAAATCACGCTTCTCTACCTGGAAATCCGATGGACGTGTCTGAGTTTGGCAGTTGCCAGGAAACCGGTACTTGCCTGACTGCATTGTGCCAAGTGTAAAGTTTGGTGGAGAAGGATTATGGTGTGGGTTTTTTTTTTTTCAGGGGTTGGGCTTGCCCCTTAGCTCCAGTGAAGGGAACTCTTAAGGCGTCAGCATACCAAGACATTTTGGACATTTTCATGCTCCCAGCTTTGTGGGAACAGTTTGGGGATGGCCCCTTCCTGTTCCAACATGACTGCACACCAATGCACAAAACAAGGTCCATAAAGACATAGATGAGCGAGTTTGAGGCAGAGGAACTTGACTGGCCTGCACAGAGTCGTGACCTCAACCTGATAGAACACCCTTTGGGATGAATTAGAATGAGCCTTAGACTGTGAGCCAGGCCTTCTCATCCGATATCAGTGCCTGACCTCTCAAATACGCTTCTGTGTAAGAATGGTCAAACATTCCCATAGACATACTCCTAAACGTTGTGGACAGCCTTCCCAGAAGAGTTGAAGTTGTTATTGCTGCAAAGGGTGAGCTAACACAATATTGAACTCTACGGACTACGACTAGGATGCCATTAAAGTTCATGTGCGTGTAAAGGCAGGAGTCCAATACTTTTGGCAATATAGTGTATATACACACACAGTATATATACTTTTTGTTTTCCTTACCGTAACCTTGTGTGAGTCTTCTTGTTACTGGTAAATTTCCACGAGCACCAAATTGATGAGAATAATTAATCAGGGCCTCTTTAATAACTGCATATCCACAAAGCACAACCACTGGTCTAGAACCCAACCAGACAGTGAAGATGGGTCCATACTGCTTAGTCAGCTGTAAAATAGAAACACATTTAAAATAATTATAAATAATTTTTTTTTTGGCTTTTTAATGCTTTTTTGCATCTCAGTGCTGCTGATCTCCTCCAATCTCTTTTATTAATTCCCTGCCTACATGTTCTTTCTCCTCTGAACTTCTGATACACAACGTCAGTCCTGTGAACTGGCTTCCTAGTAGCATGTTCTCCAACTGTCCAGGATCGTACCACTATATGAGCAGAATCCCACTGTTTCTTGGCTCAAATACATGTCCTACCATAGAAAGAATAGATGGTTTTTGGGGAAAGATTTCTGCTATGAAAGTGAATATGCAGCCACTGAATAGGCTGTTCCTTTGCCTACAGCTTGTCTCAAACTGCCTATTTACTTCTATGGTGGCAGATGTCTTGTGTGACCACTGGGCCTTTTTTTTTTACCACCGATTAAAGAAACCAGAACATTTTTTCATCCACTGACCATCAACAATTCCTGACCATTGCATTATATTTGGTATGTTTTATCTTAAATAGAATTGACCCTGTTCCCTATTGCATGTTTTGTGTTGTATATTTTTCTGGCCTAATCCCTGCACTTTATAGTCTTTGTTGTACATTATGTAGACCTGACCCTTTGTACTCTGCATTCTATACTGTAAGCTACGTGGACCTGACCCCGTGCTCTATGTCCTAACCGTTTCCTGTAGTATGTCTATATGACCACTCTATGACCATCTCCTACAGTATGTATGCAGTCTATGATCATCTTCTCTAATATGAGTATAAAAAGAAATAGTAGGAATTCAATAACAATATATTACACTGCTCACAAAAATTAAAGGAACACTTTGAAAACACATCAGACATCAGTGGGGAAAAAATCTCCTGCTGGATATCTATACTGATATGGACTGGGTAATGTGTTAGAAAGGTAAGGATGCCCCATCGTTTGATGAAAATGAAAATTATCAACCCTACAGAGGACTGAATTCAAAGACACCCTGAAAATCAAAGTGAAAAAATTATGCAGCAGGCTAGTCCATTTTGCTGAAATTTTCATTGCAGCAACTCAAAATGGTACTCAGCAGTTTGTATGGGCCCCATGTGCTTGTATGCATGCCTGACAACACCGGGGCATGCTATTAATGAGATGACAGATGATGTCCTGGGGTATTTCCACCCAGATCTGGACCAGGGCATGGGATATAAAGAAAAACAAACAGCGGGTGCACCGGCCTAGTGCATTACCATAAAAAACATTTATTGAAATAATAAAAATAGGTATCGTACTCCCAAATGACATCAATGTCAAAGGCACATCATAAAGAACAGCACTGTCCAATCCACACTACATGTCCATCCACAATGGGAACCCTGGACTTCCAACAGGCTAATGCGTTTCAAGGACTTGCCTCTTCCTCAGAGCATCACTGAATTCCTGTACAATCTGAGTTTGACTTTCTGTGCAACCACTGTAGGGTCCAGGTATCGCCTCATGCTACCAGTAGTGACACTGACCATAGCCAAATGCAAAAACTAGTGAAAAACAGTAAAAAAATAATGAGTAGGGAAAAATGTCAGTGGCCTGCACCTGTAAAACCATTCCTGTTTTGGGGGTTGTCTTATTGTTGCCCATCTAGTGCACCTGATGTTAAGTTCATTAACACCAAAGCAGCTGAAACTGATTAACAACCCCTTCTGCTATTTAACTTACTAGATCAATATTCCAGGAGTTTAACTGACTTGGTGCTATACTCTGATTAAAAAGTGTTCCTTTAATATTTTTGAGCAGTGTATAATAATTTCTATATAATGCAAATTGCATTAGCAGATGTGAGCTCAGCAGTCTACTAAGGAAAGTGTTAATGGAAACACATTTAGCAATATCAACTAAGGAGTGTCCACCTATCTAATCCCATTTAATAAATTATAAACCCCCTACACTCAGGTATATGGGTACTTAGCTCTTCTACACTTGTGTTTAGGACTCACCTTGGGATAAAACTGGTGCAATGCAAAGCTCACTTGAAGCAGATTACCAACAAATGGCAATGGGGTCGGTCCCTGGAGGAAGTCGAAACCGTGTCTTCTGTACTCTCCATACAGTGATAATGAAGTAGAAGAGCAGCAATGAGTAAATAGACAGAGTGAGGATATCCATATCTGACAACCAAACAGAATAACAGCAATATTATATACCGTATCTCTGTCATTTATTAACGTGTTGAAGAAAAGGATTCTGTTATTGTGTAACCCAATGTTTTCCAAAGCTCAATTACCTCAAGTAGTTCAGGATCCCTAGAACGGAGGAAGAGGCAGGTTAGCTAGAGAGACAATTCCTGACAAATTTGGAAGAGTCCTAAGCTTTTTTTCTTTTAGGATTGAACGTTAGAGTTGTTACTTTCACATAGCAAAAGGTAAAAAGGTAAAATATTACACACATATTACAATATTGCAGGAATTATTCATTATGGTTGTACTAATGTTGTGACATTCACAATGTAATTTTTAAAATAAAAGTACCAGAGTGTTAAGCACATGGTACAGACACCTTCATTTAAGTCTTCTTCCTTTCCACCCAGACCCCCAAGTACATTCTCATTCTCCAAGTCTCATTTTCCATCTCTATATGATTTACACTGTCCACAGTAGTACTACAAATATGCTGTGCATTTCTACTTACAAATAATTGCAAAGTTTCTTGCCACCAGTAAATTTCCTTATAAGCTTCCTCCACACAGAGCCACTGGGTGCCACAGAGGGTTCCTTTGCCTGGTCTTCTTGAGTGTACGTATCAGCAGTGAGTCTTTATTAGCAGACAGTAAACGCAAACCCCACAAACTGCACCCAGGTTTGGTTAAGCGTACCTCGCTTAGGACCACTTAGAAGAGGTGGGCCCAGGCACGGTTCACTTGTGGTCTGTTACAGTTTACTTCAGTGTGAGTGCAAACTGTACCGGAACATAAACCTCTCCATAGATGATAATGTACTGAAGCACAGATCACTGGTCTAGTTACCAGAGAAATATGTCTGGGAACACTTGTAAGCAGTGTCGGACGAGGTCCACCAGTGCCGAGGGCGAAGATGGGAAACTGCAACACCTCCCTTTACCCCCCCCCATTGAATGGAGAAAGATACAGGCCAAAATGTTTGTGGTATTAAATAAAATAGTACCAGCCACAAGTTTAAAATAGCTACACAAATATGTGGTAAAGGAAAAAATTACCCTAGGTTGGTGGTATCACTGAAAGGAAAAAATGTCCCTGCATCAGCATTGTCACTGAAATGAAAAAATGCCCTTGAGTTGGTGATGAGAATGGGATGGAAAAATGTGAGTGGTGTCACTAAAAGGAAAAAAAATGTCCATATCAGTGGTGTCACTGGCAGGAAACACGCCCCTGCATTGGTGGCATCACTGGAAGGGAAAATGTCCCTCAGGTGGTGGTGTGAGTCAGTGGTATGATTGAAAGGAAAAAAATGTCTCTGTATTGGTGCCATCCTGTAAAGTAAAAGCGTCCCTGTGTCATTGGTGTCACTGAAAGGAAAAAAATAGTCCCTACATTGGTGGTGTCACTGGAAGAAACACCAGTGCAAAGCTCTTCCCCCACGCCCATAACAGAGCTCCTCCCTGACTCTGCCCCCCCCTTCTCACTACAATTATCACTCCCTATCCTCCCCTGCACAGACCTTCCTCTTCCTCCCTCCTTCCCCAGTACACAGAGCCACCCCTTCTCCCACCCCCTCAGTACAGAAATACCCCCTCCTCCCAGACCCCCAGCATAGAGCTCCTCCTTTCTCCTCCCTTTCACAGTATACAAAGCTCCCCCCCCCACCTCTATCACAGAGAGGTACCCCATTCCTTTCACCTTCCCCAGTACACAAAGCTCCCCCTTCTCATGGACAACCTTTTCCCCTCAGTCTTTCAGAGCACTCTATGTCTAGACTTCTAGCAGTGCTCCTGAAGGAGGCACTGTCACTTGAGGCATGCTGTCATTTGTAAACACAGAATCGACACAGGAAACTGCTTCTGTGTGACAGCGGACAGTGGAGAGCATGCCAATACCACGCTTTGGATGAAGAAAAAAGCCCACTGACAGGAGTACTGTAGTCACTACTGTCAGTAAGAGGCAGGGAGAAGGGAGCTGCTGGAGGCCCCATCACATGTCCACACACATATGGCTGGCACCTGCCGTTGTCCCCCCACCACACTGCCCTTGTCCTGGCAGTGCTTGTAGGTGTTCCCCAGGAACATTCCCTTATAATACAGTGTGTACAGTGAATGAAAACCAGTGGGGTTGTGGAAAGGAGGGATAATTGAACTCGGGTGTAGTTCAATTTAACTGGCCCCAGCATGAGTGCACCTAAGTGTCCTGTTTTACCACACAAGTCAAACAGTTTTCTTTGCAGGCAGTTTCGGATGGTCTGGGGAATCCATCAATGGTGTTATAGATACTCTTTAGAATTCAGTTGAAGTGCAGTGCCAAAAGTGTCGATGCTTGCACCCAATTCATGCCCCATTCTGAGACAGGTACATGAATCTTTTGGTGCTTGCCCTAAGGATGGAATGTACAGTACATTCTAGATATACAAATGTCAAAGCATTCGCTCTGGGACTATAAATAAAGCACATCAGCCATAAAAGGTACTATATGTTAAATTTACATAATTATAAATTTATTGGTAACATAATTAGAAATTCCAACATGATAAAATCCAGTTTACCATATAGTACCTTTATATGTGATGCACTTCATTTAAAGTGCCAGGGCAAATGCTTTGACATTTTTATATATAGTTTTAGGGATGAAGGCGCACAACGTTTTGGTGCCCCAGATCACATTTTAATTGATTAAATATACTGTATATTATTGGGTGGAAGACAGCATGTAAGCTCACTGTGTGGTCTCTAGCACCATATATGTTTTGGTACTAGGATTTGACTACTTAATATGATGGATGATTTGATGTGATGGAAGTCTGTTTTTTATGTTGTCTTTATGTGTGATGCACCTGGTCTTGGATAGCTGTTTTGTTTTTTTGTCTACTCCTGGGAGCTACAATGCATATAGGGCTTAATAGCTGCTTCTGACAGGTGTTGATGGAGGACAGTGTGGACCCTGTGCATGTTGGTGCCATGTTTCGGGCCCAAAATGTGATCTCAGTGTGCACAGAGTTTGTGCGCCATGGTGTGGGATGTCTGCCACTGTGTGTGGAGATTGCTCTTGGAGCCATTTTGCTTCCTCCATACAGTACCCCTACTCCATTACTAAACTTTTTGCATGGTGTTGCAAGAGAGACCTGTCTTGGGATTTTTGCTATATATGGAAGTGACAGACTCGGGATATATTCTTTTAACTCTTTGTGATCATGAACTACACTTTGTTCTGGAGCCTCAGTATGTATTATTACTGTGGTGCTTTTTTCTATATGTGATTCTCACTTTTTTACATGTTTTTTGTTTTCAGACCGCACACACACACACAAACGCACATGCACACTACCAGTGTTGGCAGCTTCTTATTTTTATGCTACAAGTATTGTTTTTTTCCTTTTAGATATTTTTGGTACTCATTATGGGCGTCATTATGGACTATGATGCACTCCTGGGTGCTCCTACCTGTCCTCCCTTTGTGCCTTTTGCCCCTGATGGTCATATGCCCACAGTTCCTGGGACAGACGTTCCTGATGACCTTCCCTTTCAGCTGCTACCATATTAATTTGGAGCTAATTTGTAAGTAGCAGCGCCATGTGGTGACCCCAAAGAAGAACTTAGCTGATTATGCCATACTACCAGTGTGTGCAAAAATGTATATGCTGATATTTATTTCCTAGATATATACTTTGTGTCCACTGCTGAAGAAGTGAACAGAGAGTCACAAAACGCTTTGGCTTTTTAATGAAACTTGCCAACTATATATTTATAGGAGGAATATATTAATTGTTATATGTTTATTGCTTATCTATTTGAAATGTACAATAATGTCACCATGATTGTGAAGGAATTTATGGCTCCATTTTATATATACTACAAATTAGCGCAATATATCTTCTAACTGGATTTTATCATGATGGAATTTCTAATTATGTTACCAATAAATCTATAATCATGTGTATTTACCATATAGTACCTTTATGCGTGATGGCCCACTGCGCATGCACGAGAGGCGCTGCACTTTGTGAATGGTCCTGTAGTCTTCTGGGACCTGTCATGTGTCCCGGAAGACTACAGGAAGGGAGGGGGGAGGAGAACTCCGCGGAAGTGAGAGCGGGTACCCGCCCACAGCTCCTCAAAGATCTACAGTCTCTGGTCATCTCCTGTACTATGTCCGCAGTCTCTGGTCATCTCCTGTACTATGTCCGCAGTCTCTGGTCATCTCCTGTACTGTGTCCGCAGTCTCTGGTCATCTCCTGTAGTACGTCCGCAGACTCTGGTCATCTCCTGTACTATGTCCGCAGTCTCTGGCCATTTCCTGTACTATGTCCGCAGTCTCTGGCCATCTCCTGTACTGTGTCCGCAGTCTCTGGTCATCTCCTGTACTATGTCCGCAGTCTCTGGTCATCTCCTGTACTGTGTCCGCAGTCTCTGGTCATCTCCTGTACTATGTCCGCAGTCTCTGGTCATCTCCTGCACTGTGTCCACAGTCTCTGGTCATCTCCTGTAGTATGTCCGCAGTCTCTGGTCATCTCCTGTACTATGTCCGCAGTCTCTGGTCATCTCCAGTACTATGTCCGCAGTCTCTGGCCATTTCCTGTACTATGTCCGCAGTCTCTGGTCATCTCCTGTACTGTGTCCGCAGTCTCTGATCATCTCCTGTACTATGCCCGCAGTCTCTGGTCATCTCCAGTACTATGTCTGCCGTCTCTGGCCATTTCCTGTACTATGTCTGCAGTCCATTGGTTCAGAATATTTTTTTTCTTGTTTTCCTCCTCTAAAATCTAGGTGCGTCTTATGATCAGGTGTATCTTATGGAGTGAAAAGTACAGTAATTGTCTGCCCCTGCCACCCAAGGGCAATTTATCCAAAGCAGGGAGTAAGCAATTGTTATAATCACCCAATGCCAATAGGGGAACATCAGGGTGATTTGACATAAATTGAGCTAGTTGTTTAAAGACCTCTGGAGAGTAGGGCGGGGGGATATTTATCGTGGTCACAATATAGCGGA